GCCACTCTACCCATCAAGGGATAGAGTTATTTCCCTCTCTTTTGATTTGGCTGGCCTTGTGCCTTGACTTGGTCAAGAGACTGTAGAAGATGTGACCATACCAATTCCAGATCTAGCCTTTAAAAGGCCTGGCAGCTTTGCTTTCCCAGGAAGCCAGCTCAGGTAAAAAGTCCAACTCCCCTAAGGCCTTCAACGTTACATGAAAGACAAAGGAGCCACACAGAGAGGCCATGTAGAGAGACAAGAGATGCCCAGCCAGGAAGCCAGCTCAGGTAAAAAGTCCAACTCCCCTAAGGCCTTCAACGTTACATGAAAGACCAAGGAGCCACACAGAGAGGCCATGTAGAGAGACAAGAGATGCCCAGCCAGCTCCCAGCTCATCCAGCTATCCCAGCTGGGGTGCCAGACATGTGGGTGAAGACACTGCCTTGGAGCAGAAGATTTGTCTGGCTGAGCCCAGCCAATTGCAGAATCATGAGAAGCAATAAATTGTAGTGGTTTTAAGCCACTAAGTTTTGGGACAATTTACTACACAGCAATAGGTAACTAGAAGAGGGCCTGAGCATCGCTGACGGAGGAGGTGGAGGGGTTGTGGAGAACGTATCTGAGCCCTGTGGAGAGAGGAGCTGAGCAGAAGCTGAGGAGGAGCTGAGTGAACAAGAGCACAGCAGCCCTGCTTTGGGGCCCGAGAGACATAAACTTAGGGAGCAAAACTTCTCCCAGTTTTGTGTAGACTACAGCCTGGGTTTGGCCAGGGAGAACTTTATGGAGAGGGACATTTACCAGGCACTTCAAGGGTTTGCAGCTTGGGGAGGGAGCCACAGGCTAGGTCGGGCAGTGGTGGAGGCACATGGAGTGGCTTTCTTGCCAGCAGTCATCAAGCAGCTGCAAGTGCAACAACTCAAACTTGAGAGGACTGTGGTGAGCTCGTGGGAGGTAGGTCTGGGGACTCCTGGGGACAACCAGGAATGGTGGGGGACCCCCGTGGTGAGCAGAAGTGGGAAGAGGCCATGAAATTTGAGCTGTTGCTGTCATTGGGACCTCATTTGTGCCCACTGGCTAGTGTGGCCCCAAGAAACGCAGGTAACAACACGAAGGCCTGAAAGTGATAGCCAAGAAAACAAGTTTCATAGCATTTGTGGAACACCCCTGGGGGCTCCCAGAACAATGTAGGAAGACCCTAAAGGGGTTGGTGTTCCCACATTGTGGGCAGAGATGGACCCAGAGAACTACCATTTCTTAATGTGATTCTGACTCTATTGTGACCCTCACTGTCTTCTAGGCTGGAAATTTGGCAAAGACACTGAAAGGGTTTGCTGAGATGTCCAAGCCCCGGTTATTTCAGCATAGGACCTGATTTTCCAACTCCATCCAGAGCCAATTCCACCTCTGAACCTGAATTCTGATTCTAGGAAGGAGGGGCTGTCTAGAGCCAAAAGGCCTCCAGAAGCAAACAGAGATTCAGACCAACACTGAACAAGGAACTCGGTCCAAAGGAGCTTGCACCTGCTGTGGGCCACGAGAGTGCCTATGTGAGGGGAGAATAAGACTGTATAGCTCCAGGGCCCTGGACCAGGATGGCAAAAGGGACCACTGCATGGTCCACACACTTGGCAAAATATCCAAAGAGAACAAATCTGTTGAGTACTGAGATGCAGCTCGGGGCACCCAACAGCCAGAGAACAGGGGCAAGGTGGGAGTGTGTGTGACTGTGGGACAGTTACGGCAGTGTCCTGACTCTGTGACCTTAGCCAGGGGACATTGCCTCCTTCATTCCTGTTCAGCTCTAAGGCAGCATGTGAGAGGAGGTGAGCAGCAAGGAGTCCCTCGGTCATGAGGACCAGACCCTCCCCCATCGCAAGGCGCCCCAGCGAGTACTGCCTGATCTCCATGTAAAAGCCTTCGAGAAGCAGGGCTGTGAGGCCTCTTCCCTCTTGCTAAGCTCTCCCCAGTATGCTCTGAGAAGTCCATTTTGGGTCTGTACGTGCTGCTCTAAAGCAGGGGTCAGCCCCTCTCCCCAAAGCCTGGCTCTTCCCAAGCTGGTCCACACTCCAGCCATGGCCTGCACCCTCCCCTACGCAGGCCTGACCACCCCAGCCTCAGCCTGCTCCAGCCTCATCTGCATTTAACACCCCTTGTTGGGCTGTGGCAGAGAATACTCAGACTCATATTAAAAATGCCCTTTAAAATTCAAAAGCTTTGAACTAAAGAAATACCTTGAGAAGTTTTCATGGAAAGTTCAGCCCTGCTGGTTCAATTCACTACACTCAGATGCACCTTTTCAAATAATAGGGAAAAAATGTAACAGGGTCAGACCCAATCAATACACTTGTTCAAACAGAATTGCAGGGACTGTGATGTGCACACATTTTGTACTCTGCCTTTGTACCCTGCCACTCGCTCTGAAGAAAGGTTTCTTTGCTAGGAGAGCAATGAAAGTGGTAGCCTTTTGAGTGGAAGCAGCAAAGCAATGGCAGGTTTACAGGACGGGAGGGGCTGCCATTTCTCACGTCTTCCCAGCCTGGTCTCTTTGTTCTTTTCATACGGCGCACAAGCCACTTGGGCAAAGTCCCTCACGCGCCCCAGTGTCTGATGCTGAGTGGGAAGCAGAATGCTCCCAGCATTTGCCTGCCATGACTCAGAAACGTGATTTGTGGATTAGACAAATAATTTGCTGCTTCTCTCCCACCCTTGGTGAGAACACAAAAGGCCTTACTATGGAGCACTGTGCTGCAGGTGTGGTCCACATCCACCCAGCCCTTACCTGCACCCCTTCCTTCCCTCGCTGACCGAGAAAACCTTCAGGCCCCTGGAGGATGACTGTGGGCAGACAGAAGATTCCGTAGCCTTGGCTGCAACCTAAAACAGCTGGGAAAATTCTGGAGAACGCTGCTAACTCGAAGGCGGTGTTAGAGGGAGGGGAAGGGGCCAGCTGCGGCTTACACTCTCACAGCCAGATCCCAAGGCAGGCAGAAAAGTGAATGATGGGGAGAAAACAAAATGCTAGTTTTCAGCCTCTGTTAGTCTGGACACATCTACTTCATGTGTACTCAAACCGTATGTACAACCGTAATCGTTTAAATGACGTGCTGAACATGCTGAGAATCTTGGCAGCTCAGGAGGTCAAGTGGGGACTTGGAAAATACTTTATTCCCAACCCGTTTTATACTAGATCCTAAAATGTTCTTGCTGGTTCTTGCCATAATTGGACAGACACCCTGCACTCAACCAGGCCTGGGTTAAGGTTAGAACCGAGACGTGGATATCAGCAAATGGGTGCAGGAGAAGCACATCTGCATCCCCTTTGTCATCTGCAAGCCCTCTGTTTATTTATTTTTTTTCTTAACCCTTGACTTGGTGTTGTGAGCACCACGCTCAGCCAGTGAGCGAACCGGCCATCCG